GTGAGCACATTGTTCATCACAACAGCCAGTGTCATCTTCATCATGCTGTCTACAAGTGAGTACATTGTTCATCATAACAGCCAGTGTCATCTTCAACATGCTGTCTACAAGTGAGCACATTGTTCATCACAACAGCCAGTGTCATCTTCAACATGCTGTCTACGAGTCAGCACATTGTTCATCATAACAGCCAGTGTCATCTTCAACATGCCGTCTACAAGTGAGCACATTGTTCATCACAACAGCCAGTATTATCTTCATCATGCTGTCTACAAGTGAGCGCACTGTTCATCACAACAGCCATTGTCATCTTTAACATGTTCTCCACATATACAAGTGAGCGAATTGTTTATCTGAAACAAAAGTGATCCATACTATTTATGTTTTCAATTGAGAATTTTCCTGAGAAAAACCGATTAAATATCCGATATTAAGTGGGAATTTTCTTTGCGCTGCTCTTGTTCGTAAGTGCCTTTGGTTATTGTCACGTCTTAAGTTCAAAAATAGACAAATTCAAGAGCCATTAACAAAAACAACCACTCGGACAAACACGCTTAAAACATGCGATGGTTCATAGCCAATTTAATCATTCAATTTGCTTTGTTATAAATATATTACACGGCATTGCTGTTACAAGGTTATCAACTAGTATCGTTTGACCAAAGACCACGTATTACCGAAAAAAGCGCATGTTCTATTCTGACAAATCTATTTTTCTTTTAATGTACAAATAGCCAGAGTAGAATCATTTTAGTGGAGAAAAATACACTCAAAAAGTTAATAACTTGAATTTCAAGTAAAGTTATAAAGAGCATTAGACAGACAGACAGACAGACGGCCAGACAGAAGATTGAGCTGCAGTTTCAAGCATTGATCAGAAATATTTAAGAGTGATTTCAAACTATGAAACAAAAACAAAAACGAGGACTTTTTAGGATTGGTGTGACCATCTGCGAACGGCTCCTCTCTGACTGCCCTTTCATTTCAGCCAATTTCGTTCATCTTATTTCAAAATTAAATGAATGACTGCTACCGACCAACGCCAAAAATGCATATATATTTTTTGTCCCAGTAATGACAGCCTTGATAGGCTTATACGCCTCCTCGTGTGGAGATCCGTAAGTAAGTAATGACATAATTGAAAATGACTAATTTTCTATTATTTCAATAAAGATTCCAAACCGTACGAAAGACGTGCTGCAGTAGAAAAACCTTTATCAGGTAATTATAAAGAAAACAACATTTGAATTGAAGGTGACGCACGCCGACAGGGCTCCACATTTTATTGAACACGATGGTCTTTCCAATTTATAATTGCACTGGAGGGTTTTCCCCTGATTTGTCAGGGCAAAAAGACAGCGCATTAGCTGCAGACAGGTATTCACTCTAATAGCTTGCGTAAAACCTTTTCCCCCCTTTTATCAGTATATTTTTAAACGAAAAAAATAAAAAAAATAAATAAATAAAAAA